CTCTACAACACTGATCCTGGAGAAAAGTGACATTTCAGTCAGCTAAGTGCCTAATGGCCCAAGAGCAAAGGGGAGATGCTTTAGCTTTACATAGGACCAGGAAAATGAGAAAGGGTCCCACCCAAACTCTTCGCAATGATGTAGCACAGCCTTCTCTGTGTCTGGTCTGCACAGGTAGAGGATAGTTTCTACCCACTGTTTATCTCAGGTTATAATGACTTGTGTTTTGATTTCCTGATGGCCATTGGGGAGTATGGCATTCCTCAGGCCAGGCTACAAATGGCTGTGACCAATATTGGGAGTTGATGCTACCTCACAACTAGGGCTCATTCTCAATCCATCTGCACAGAAGCACCTTGAAAATACGTAACTGCCCAGTTCCCTGCCTTAATCCATAGCCTCACCTCTTGCAGCTCCAGCCCTCACCAATACCCAAGTCTCATTCACCTCCTTTCCCCTTCCAACCCCCCTAAACTGCCACTTGCCACACTGACACCATCCTTTCCTTCATTGCAGATGAGCACCTCCTCAGCTCTCTTTGCTTCATGCCAGCCTCAGCTGTGGCAGAGGATATCCACCTTCATCACAAGTTCAGACCCAGCTTCGCTGCTAAGGCTTGACTGCCTATATCCTGGTTATAATAATCCCAAATCAGCATTTACCAGCTAAGGAGCCCAGAGGTATTACCCCCTGCTTCACCAGTACTGACCAGTACTGTGTGTCCCCACACAACACTATGCAGTCACATAGCAGCACTTGGCACTCCCCTCTCTGCGGTGGGCATCTTCTCCATGCGCTGCCCAGGAAGCAGCTCTGCTAGCAGACAGGCATGGCACTGCTTCAAGATACTTGAAAAGGAACACCAATAAATAAAAGTGAAGAAAATTAGAAGCCTGTCTGTAGGTAAAAATCCACATCCCACACCAGGAAAGTTAATACAAGTGAAGATTCTGGCTCCAGAATCCACATATTGTCCTGTTGAGAGCAAGATTCATTTCAGAAGAGGCCCAGTGCCTGAAACCCTTACTGACTTCACCAATTTCACCAGGTAAAATGCAAAATACATACTAGTAACAGTGATATTCTAAGTCAGAGATTGTTAACATTAACATTGCTATGTAGAACATGTAAAAATAGGAACCTTTATGAAGTATGAATGCTGCCATTTTCCTAAGTCTTCATTGAAGACCAATATACATGTGGGTTTGATACCTACATTACTTTTTAAAAACCATCTGCTCGAAAGAAACAATGACTTTTCAGGTGCAGTCAGCCCTGCAGCTGCCCAGCACAGGGAATTTCTTATGGATCTCAAATGAGAGTAAGGCAATTTAAGGTGCTAAAATAGACTAGAAATGAACACCCTTTGGCAACCCTTTTAAGAAACCGTTGCCACTTGTAGTGCCAAGCACCAGGAATCTCTTTTCTTCTTATGGAGAAGTGGAGCAGTGCTGTTGGAAGGCTTTTTTCCCCTCCTTAAGATGCAGGACGGATCTTCGCTGGGTTTTTTTTGGTTTAGTTGGTTTTGGCTGGAATTTTTTGGGGAGGGAGCACACTTGGCTGACGATGCACCCACCTCAAATCATAGCAAACCAGGAAATTTGGACACTTCCGCCTGTTGTTCTCACAGAGTCTTCTGCAAGAATTATTGTTGGTGCAGGTAAGTAAGTGCTGTAAAAAAAGGTTTTGGCTTTATATTTAAGAAATGTGAAATAGGTCTCTATTGTATTGACCTTGAGTGTACTAAACTTTTCTACTTTCAAATCCATTTTGCCCTATTTTCATATGCATGTGGGAAAAATGATGTCTATAAACATCTTTGTCATCATCTAGGATCATAAGGGTATAAGGGTTGTAAAACTGAGTCTGAAGACCACTTACATCTGATGATTCTGCTTTTTTATGCATATGGCTTCCTCTGGTTAACTGCACGTCTTCCTGAACTTAGAGCTAAGATTAAAAGAATAATCAACACTGTTATATATGATGTCCTGGAAACCACAGCAGAAGTCAAATGCAGAAACAGAAAACAAAGGAAAAAAGAAGATTCACAAACATGACACCATACGAGAGTTTAGATTCAATAAAAGTTTATATGTTTGCTTCCTCTAGAGTTAAAAAAGCAATTAACATTTGTAAGTACACAATTTGAAGACCAGCATTCTACGATTGACATGTTTTCAGTCCATTTCATAAATGGCTTTAGCAGAATCAAATACAATTCCTACAGTTACAGCAGTTCAACATTTAAATGAAGATATGTATAACATAATGTTTGTAAAGTTAAGCTCTCCACTTCCCTCCACATATTTAAGTGTCACTCATGAGATGTGTTGTACTCACACACATACCTGTTTTAGGGATTCAAGCCACATTCTTCTAAGGGACTTTTACAGGGATAAATCACCATTTTAGATCTACAGCATTTTCTATACATGCAGATACAGATTCTCATTAGAAAGACAGCCCCATTTCCAAATTAGCTCAATTGATGATAACCTAACAAGAGGCAACATGATCTATACCACACCATTTATGTTACATAAAATCTAATGTGGTGCTAAAAGAGCACTGGAAAATTACGCTTGGCTAGAGGCAAAAATTCAGCTCTTTCCTTCCACTTTGATTTAATGAAGAGACACACTTAACTAATTGCTTTGCTTAAAACCACCATTAGAAATTCCACAAGATTTCAGATTCTAGTATTAAGGATCTTCACCATAAGCCTTTTAAAAGTGAACCTCAAGATCATTTTCCTTTTCAAAAGATGCTTTTTCTCTGCTGCATCAGACATAATACACAAACATGCAACGTGCAGTCCAATATGGGCACTTGTCTCTCCCAGCATAACTTAGTACTTACAGAGCACTCTGCTAGCAAAACGTTATTCAGAGCAAACCTGAGTTCACAAGCAAGAGAAAACTGCCTTCCCTGTATGCCTGCTTCTGGCTTGCCACATAAATCCATCTAAATTCATTCAAAGGCACAACAGCTTGTCATCACCTTGCAGGTCTGAGTTGTGAACATGCAGCAAAAGTCTAGTTTCATATTCACAACAAGGAACAAAGAACCTAAATGCCACATTGAGTTATATTTGTCTTTCTTCACACTTAATTATATTCCTCTTTTTGGCTAGTTCAACTCTCTTTCTAGATCTAGTTAAAAAAAATCCACGACAAAGCAACATGCAGAGCAGCATCTGAAAGACGGCTGGCTTGTGTCTTGGAGTTCACTCTTTTAACATCTAAAGAAAAGAGCCTACTGCCATATTCCAACCAGTTTCCTCCCATATCTTTTTTATGCAGTATAAAGTATAGCACAAAACATAATTATCACCTTCCTACAAATGGCTGACATTTTGGTTAGGGGCAGGGGTGGGGGGCAACCAGAGATCTAAACGTGACCTTACTGAATATTAACAGAATCTAAAACTGCAGCTTCCCACACATCTGCTTAACAGCCTAACTCACTACAGTAACAGATTCACTGAGCCAGAGAGGGGCTACACATGAACACAGAGCCCTAAAATATTGGCCTGGACATCAACCTGAACGGGGCAGGCTCAGAACTGAATCACTCGCAATGGCTCTTCTTCTCCATGTGCATAAAGTCTCTAATACACCTAATTCTTTCAGTCAGACTGGAAGTTCTACTGTGTCCTGGGTTCGGCTGTAGCAGTCATTTCTCTCCTTCTTAGTAGCTGGTGCAGTGCTGTGGTTTTGACTTTAGCCTGAGAACAACGCTGATAACACACCAATGTTTTGAGCTGTTGCCAAGTATTTCTTACTCTGATCAAGGACTTTTCAGTCTTATGCTCTGCCAGCGAGGAGGAGCACAAGAAGCCAGGAGGAAGCAGAGACAGGACACCTGACCCAAACTGGCCAAAGGGGTATTCCATACCACAGCACGTCATGCCCAGCACAGAAACTGCAGGGAGTTACCCGGAAGGCCGAGATCACTGCTCGGGTCAGGCTGGGTATCGGTCGGCAGGTGGTGAGCGGTTGTGTCCTCTCCCCTTGTTATTCCTCTTATCATTATTATTGGTAGCAGTAGTGGTTTGTATTATACCTTAGTTACTGGCGTGCTGTTATCTCAACCCATGGGAGCTACGTTCCTCCAATTCTCCTCCCCATCCCTCCGGGAGTGAGGGGGTAAGAAGGCAGGGAGTGAGCGAGCGGCTGTGTGGTTCAGAGTTACCGGATGGGCTTGAACCACGACCTAGTGAAACATTAGCAAATGCATCACTACTCCACAGCTATGGTGCTACTGTATGCTTCACAAGAGAACAACCTGATGGTTCAAACTCTTATCAAGCAGAGATCATAAAATAAACAAACCCACAGTCTCACACGCTGTTAGCAGGTGTTCCCACCTCTAGACTACAGTAGCACTTAGTCAGCTCCCAGTCCTCCTCCTTCTGATCTTGGCTTCAATCTCAAATGACAGTAGCAACCTTCAGGAAATGACTGCAGGATGTGAAACACTGCAAAAGAAGTATCTCCAGACATAGACAGGGTAAGATGCTTAGGATCAAAGCAGGGTGGAATCTAAGAAGAGCCTCGCCATCTGCACTCCATGTTCACTTGTAAAGGCATTTCGGTGACCAACATATTTACTTCACACTTGGCATGACTGTTTTTGTGGTTCTTTATAGGCACTGAATGTATTTAACGCACGATGCAAAGCCCTTGTATTTTGGATTCCAATACTGGGCTTGACATAAAATTGTAGGGGGTGTGACTCATAGTAGTGCTATCACAGCCTTCTATCAGAGCCTCCTGAAAAATTAAAAGATGTGGTCGCTACAGGCATACTAGTAGATTACATGATCTGAAATGATTGGCACTTCATAGCCTCTAAGACACCCCTGCATCTTACAAAGGAACACAGCATGGAAAACACTGCATGAAATAAGAAAAAGTTATGCTGGTGATTGTGTTCATGGAAAACCAATTTGTGTATCGAAGTGAACAGGTATCTTCTGTTTGAAGTCTCCCTCATTACTGGACCATCTTGTACACAGGGTCTCCAACTTGAATCTTTCCCGTTTTGTCAACAGCAAAGTATCTTCCAAAGAGAGGGCTGGATTTGTAGATGTGTCGCTCAGATGGATCACATAAGCGGTAACTGCAGAGAGAGAGCACTTCTTTAGGATCAGTGGTAGCAAAGTCTAAACATCAAAATACCAGTGATGAGAGAGAGGACACATGAACAGCGATACCCTACCATACTAGACTAAAAGCCAAATAAGTGTTATGATTAAGAAAACCAAACAGTTCAAGGGGAGAAAAAAAAGCCTGACTGTATTCACACATCCATGTATAATACACATACAAAAGGCTATATAAAAAGAAATGCCAAAGTTGCAAAGTTAGATCTTTAAATAAATACCTGCTACCCCAGGCATTTACCCCAGCACACATGAAAGAGACAGGGAATGTAAAGTGTGCAAGAAAGAAGAGAGAACCTCCTGAATTTTCTTACCATAAAGAACAGCAGAAAGCAGAATGGAAGCCAATACACACAGCCCTTTACACTGCATCATTATGTCCCACACATACTTTTAAAACACCAGTCTAACATCTGTTGGGATCTAGCCTAAATCTACTCCCACGGCCTAAAAAGCATTTTTACAACCTTTTCAATGTTTCCAAGGGCTCCTTCCTGTCCAGCACGCCAGTGTCTGGGTTAACAGTTGTTAAAATACACCTGCAATGACAGACAGCACCAAATCAGTAATGGCTTCTTACCATAAATCTCCATACATCTATATAAGAAAATAGTCTTGAATGTTTACCTGGCACAACACACTGTCCCTTTCATTTCCACATCACCAATAACAACATCTTCCCAGGTGTCCTGAAGGAAGGTAAAGTTTAGGCACAGATTAGACATATCCACATGCAAGGATTTTTGCAGGCATGGCACAATCATTCCTAGAAGAAGCTGTACCATTCCAGCTGATCACCTTCACTTTTGCCTTCAAACTAAGTACAGTGTACTATGGTACTATTTTAATGAAAACCCTGTGGTCACTACATTCACCCAGTTCAGGGCCCACTAGTAATTATATCTGGAAAGAAAGATATACAAGTAATAAATCCTGTTCGGCAACATTCAGTTGTCTGAACCTAAAGCAAGCTTATTCTTACTGTATGTGTGATAATCTGATCTATGGACCTCTGGTAAGTCACCTATTTTGCAGAAAGGAAATTTTTAGTAAATGAAGTAAGTTTTCACTGCTCATCTACACAAGCTTCCTATTGCAATCCCTCTTGGAAGACAAAAGTCCGTTCCTGCTTTAGGAGCTCCTTAGATTTGGGAAGTAATCAGATCTATCCAGAGCAAATTCTTTGGAAAAACAGTAACGTAACATAAAAACATGTGAACACGGCCATTCCCTATTCACTTCACCATCAGATACCTTCCTAGATAGTGTTTTTTGAACTACCAGAAGATTGTCAGAGATACACAGACCACAGTATTGCAAGGGTCAGTTTTCCTCTTGTGCCAAGGAAACATTGTGCTATAAAACATCACACTGTTGTTAGTTTACTAATTGTTCATCTGTATCATTGATTGATCAGTTACAGCATGCACAGCTTTCCCTAATTTACACTTAAAGATGAGCTTTCAGTAGCAAGCCTATCATTTTAATACCCTTATTTTATCCTTTGCTAAGCTAAATAAGCACTCACAGACCTGCCTCCTCCCTCAATGTTTCACAAGCACTGATGTGAGCAGAGCTGTATCTCTCTGAATCCAGTTGTAAAAATCACAGAGTAGCAGCTTTCCCCCTTTTTGTAGAAACAATGAAACGGAGTTAGAAAGAAACACAAGCCAGCCTTCAAAAAGACATTTAAGACAGGTACTTCACCTCCTCAAAAGCACTGCAATCCGTCACAAAAATATTTGGCCTGAAGTTCTGTATCTTCACTTTCTTCTCCAGCTTGGCATTTAAATCTTCCAGTGAAGCTTCCGAGATGACCAAGACTGGGCTACAGTCAGGATAGGCAACCTACAGAAACAAACACAAAGAAATCCTAAGGCTCTAAGGCTGCTCTAAGAACATGGGAGGAAAGTTACTGAATGGCAAAAGGACAGGTATGTTGGAGCCGGTGGCCACATACTAGCCTGACTGTTAGGCTGTTGCATTCAGGTTTTAGTTTTCCTGGAAGCAGGTTAGTAAGTAAAATAACACACCCTTTCCTATTTCAGAAAGCATGGCAAGTTTCATTTGCTCAAACTGTAGAATTAAACTTCTACTTACAGAATTAAACCAAAATAATATAAGCTACCACAGCTTCTTATAAAATAATACCATATGCATGTCCCAGACATGTATCCTAGATGTTACAGACAGAAGTAAGTATAGCAGTAAAACATGTTATGCTAAGTTATGAAAGGTACTTAAGACATTTATGGACCTGTTTCTGAACTTACCTGGTTGACTATAATCAACTAATTTTCCTATATAATGAATCTATCTTCTCACACCACCACAAGGAGCTTCACATACAGAACAGCAACACTATGCTGCAACCACCCATTTGTCAGTCTAAGTTTGCTTGTAAGTAGGAGGTCTGACATTTCAGCAAACAGGGCAAATGAACAGTACTAAAAGAAAACTCCAACATATGCTAGTTCCACAGAAAAAAAAAAAAAGGAAAATTTAGTGAGAGTTTTAGAGTACAGGCCTCCTCCTGTCTTTCTATTATCCATTCCCCACCTTGTATATGCCTTTACAAGATGAGTGTTGAAATAACTATGTAAATAATTCTGCCCTCTTTTCATGCTAGGATTCCTGAATGTCACCCCTCCTAATCTGACATCCCTTTTGCTGAAAGCTAGACTTCTGCATTGCTCTCAGTGCATTTGTTTACATAATGTGCATGATGTTTACATATATTTATAATTTACATAACAAATGCACATCTATAAAGTCCATAATTGAATATACCTTCTTCTCTTTGTGCAACAAGCAAAACAACTGCCCTGTTGATAACAACATCACATCAGTAAGGCAAGGTACTCACAATTTCCTTAAAAAGCTTACATTCATCAGGTACAGTTCAAACCACCTTCATGTGAGAGCATTGTTTGAAGAAAAAGAAGAACATCAGTGGCTCCAATGATACGAGAATGCCTGTGCACAGTATCTCCTTTCCTTATCTGCTTTAACTTTCTCCAGGATCACACCTTCAAGTCTCTTCCCATTGAATGAAACCTCTGTAACCTTCTTTGGATTTTAATTCCTAGGCCCACAGTTACAGAGCCCTGGGTTAAGCAATGTTCCTTACAACAAAATACGAGGTAACACAACTCATATTAGTACGCTCCAAGACCTAACAAGGGATAGGGAACAGAAGTTTCTATACAACACAGACTGCACCACCAAAACATCTTTAAAAACTTACTTTCATTTCTATTAACAGAAGCACAAAAAGAATGCTGTTCTGCAATGAAAGAGTTCCTCTTCAAGTATCAGTACCATCTCACCACAGAAAAGGAGAACATTCATGTGGTTTAAATACATGACTGCATACCTTGCTAAATTGGGCTCAGTCATCAGTGCTGGAATAGGCAGGATTTGGTGTGTGGGTGGGAAATGATTAAAAGAAAGCACATCTGATAAAGAGACATCCATTTACCTCATCTGTGGTTCGGAAAAGATTTATTATGTCCTTTGACTTTCTTGGCACCATGGAAGGCTCAAAGTGCACCAGGCGATATGGCTCCGAATTCAGAAAAGTGGTGATCCACTGAGCCACTTCATCTCCACAGTCCCTGCCTTGGATATCCAGTCCAAACACCCTGAAGAGTCATAAGACACATCAGCAAGGGTTTACTCTTACATTTGCGTGCAACTGCAACACCAAAAGATTCCTATCCATTAATTAATCTCATAAAATTAGTGGTAGCTTGAAATGATGTGGTCACTGTCACTGACATTTACAAGAGTTATTAATTATAAATATCCCTGACTATTAAGGAAACTTTCCTTCAGATTTTAGTGCTGTAAAAGTTTAGACAAAGCTGTGAAACTCTTAAACTTAGCATACAGAATAGCTCAGTATCTTAAAAGAAATTCTAAGATTTATAGTAGAAGCAAAGTCCACAGGGCATACAAAGCCATTGGCATCAGAATACAAGCAAGTTTATGCAAGGAACACTTCCCTGGCAAGAAGTGGTAAACTTCAACCCAACCTTTCAATAAACTTCAACACCAGCCAAGAATAGTTTTAACTACTCTCTTTAAAGTACTGATTTTGACCCAAATGCACTGCAGTTCCCTCTACCTCTGCAACCATGCTCTGGCCAGCTTAAAGCATAGACATGCCCAGGCAGTTCAGCCAGCCTGAGCTCAGCTCCTAGGATCCCTCCTTTACTCATCTGGGGAAGAGATGAATCATTAGTGTGCTGGCATCAATATCCCTGCTCCGTTTACAGGGATCCCTGTATCAGCTGTGACACAGGCTGGGATTAAACACTGTCCCAGACCATGGTCAGCTGCCTTTCTCTTCCCTCCATTCTCTCAGTCTCTGTGTGTCCTTCTTGTTGGCAGGACAACGGAGGTGGGGGTCTAACAGCTTCCAGTTCACTGTTTTCTACCCACGAGGCTGATGTATCCTGAGCACTCAGTGGTATAGGGATCCATGGGAGTAGATCATCCAATGTAAGTATTGCAACACATACTGACAAAGGGCACAAATGAAGAACATGAGGCTTCATAACCAGAAGGCTACAGAAACCCCCTAACATTTGATCAAATAGAAACTTTGCCTACACAATGGCTTCGGTCCTACATTTGTCTCCCCCAAACCCAGGACTTTTAAATACCCATGTAAAATCTGCAACTGGACTTACCACTTTTACAGATCAGCATCTGCACAGCTTTTTGCAGACAGATGCACTACTGCACTGCCTTACTTCCACCCTACCAGGCAGAAGCCAGCATCAATCAGAAGGCACCATGCTTGCCCAGTGGCAGAATAAATACAAGCCTGTGCAGAGGGCCTTGCCAGCACAGCAGACTGTGCTCCCACTCACAAGCTGGAAGGGAAGAATTCAGGAGCAAAAGCCAAATCTTCATTTGCTAGAATACAGTGCTATTCCCAAACCTCATTCTTATGAATGGCTGAATGGATCAGAAAGAATCAGCCTTGAGCTGACAAAGGGCAAACCTCAGGATTCTTCCAGAGGGTTTCTGTAGCCCTCTAGTTATGAAGTACAAGGCAATGTTTAACTATGGGCATTGCTAATTTCACAGCCTACGACGCCACCCACACCGCCACACAACTTGGTAAATTCTAAAGTCCAACTGCATGCATCTAACTTTTGGTTACTTGCATTCCCAAATTCCATCAAGTTTTAAAGCCAGATAACGCAATAGTTTATTAAGGAAACAAAAATAAAGAGAAGAACAAATCCCCGAGATCTAGAATTGAAAAATACAAGATAATTTCTCATCACTGAAATGTATTTAAGTCTATTTAAGTATTTTTTCTAATGGCACAATAAATTTCAGAAAAAGAACACACTGAAACCAGCATGTTTTTGTAGTGTATGTGTCATTGGCTAATGTATAATTGTTACAGGCAGAGTTTTAAGAGACCATCCTATTTCTCCATGAGAAATGCTATCATTTGTAACTTGCACCTGGCTTGTATAAACAGAGATACTAAGTTATGCTGCTCAAGGGTTTCCACAGCAACAGATTTATGCCAAAAGCTAGCCTTTCTTTCTCTGCTATACAAAGGAAAACCACAAGTATCTTTGTAAGAATCAACACCATTTACAGTTACTAAACAGATATTTGAGCAGAGAAAACGTTTTATGCTTCCTCCTGGCCATTTTTCAGCACGGATTTCAATACATGGATAGAATAACCAGGCCTGCGTTCATACAACAAAGCTTTAGGCATGCAGTTGAATGACTGTGTTTGTAACCTGTACACCTGAAACCCTTTTGAGGTAGCACCTATAGAGAACGATGTGCTCTCTGAGGATGCCCATCTTTCCCCCAAGACCACAGTTAACCTCCAACAACCAAGTTTTCAATGTGGGCACCTTGGTTCAATGCTTACAGATAGGGGTGAGGGAATCTAAACTCAGACATTTCACCAGTTCCAAACAGCCAGTGTGTATCCATAAATGCTGATGCATACCCTAGTGGTGACCAAGAAACATCAACATACATGACTGAGGCTCTGAGATGCAACTACCTACCAGAGCAAAAATGAAAACACTAGAAGTAAATACGACCTTCTACAGACTTAAAGACCACAGTTCACTTGGCAGATGTATATGTATGGTCTCTGCATATCATGGCAGCTTTTCCTGAGATTTGTTTTTACCAATGCTTAAAAGATTGAAACTAGATCTTTTGTTATGCCAAACAATCCTGGCCTCCTCTATAACACACAGCAGAGAATGTCACAGAACAGTCTGGGTTGGAAAGTACCTTTAAAGATCATCTAGTCCAATCCTCCCACTCGAGCAGGTTGCTCCAAGCCCCTGTGTCCAACCTGCCCTTGAACACTGCCAGGGATGGGGCAGCCACAGCTTCTCTGGGCACCCTGTGCCAGCGCCTCAGCACCCTCACAGGGAAGAACTTCTTCCTAATGTCGAATCTAAAACCATGCTCTTTCAGTTTAAAACCGCTGCCCCTTGTGCTTTGAGTAAAGGCCCTGCTCTGAAGTCTCTTTCAGTTATGCAGATGGGGAAGACAGACCGCACAACCCAGAAAAGAAGCACCCAACTTTCACCCTCCAACTTCTGCATAAGAAAACGCAACTGCAAAGCACCTAAGCGAGAGGCAGTATTTAGATGGAGAGGAGGAAACAAAACCCCCTTCTCGAGTACCTGCAGTTCACCACACGGTTTTTCCTGGGCAGCTTTACAGGCAAGCACAGCTTCTTCATTTCTGGGGCCTCCAAGGTCAAGTGCCCATCTTCAGAGCTGACGGAGATGAGCACC